TGTTTTTTTATAACTTGATAAATATCATGAACAGAAGGTAGAGGACAATATAAAATAAATATGATAGATCTGCTTGTCATTTGTGGGGAAAACATTTATGATGCTTAAATGTATGCTTTCTGGAGTCTTTTACTAATTTTGTAGGCCTGCAAATAATAATAAATTATAATATGACTATGTTTCTTAATGAATCAGCTAAGTTAATGTTTCAGTTACTTATTACAAGAGACTTCAATGAAAAATAAGTGAACTAATCTTTTTAGTGAAAAAAAATTCAAATCACAGGGATGAATCAAACTCCCCACCACTATTGCTATACAACATGACACACCTACAGCCAATAAGAAAGTATTTAATGATTAAATGTACAGTTATGTGGATATGTGACCATGACCAATGACATTTCAGTGGGTGGGGCCCAAATAGCACATCGTTGTAGAAATAGATCCCAGTTAAAATATCCCATTGCTTGTCATGATTGCAGATAATTAGCAGTTGATACATGGAAGAAAGTATTTTATCACTGATCATGGCATGTCTGGTCAGGACATTGTGTCAGAACTGTAGCGAAATCACAGCAGGGAGACGGGCGTGCTGATTCATCAAAAAGAGCTCATACACAATTCTTTAAGTCACATTCTCCATTCTGCATGTGCGTGTGTGTGTGTGTGCGTGCACTTATCTCTGTCCCACAGTTCCCCTGCTGGGTGAATTAAGTTGAGAAAGAGATTGGGGGGGATGGGGGGGATGGGATACGGAGCTGCAGGTTCTTGTATTGATGGCTCTACTAAAAATAACTGCAATGCAGTCGTTCAGCATGAAACAGAGAAAGCACAGAATAAGTCTCTCGGTCTGTCTCTTTCCCTCACTCATTCACATTCAATGTATGCAAAGACAAGCTACATGTTGCACAAAAATGTAAATAAATACATTAAACTCATACTACATACAGTGGGGCAAAAACGTATTTAGTCAGCCACCAATTGTGCAAGTTCTCCCACTTAAAAAGATGAGAGAGGCCTGTAATTTTCATCATAGGTATACCTCAACTATGAGAGACAAAATGAGAAAAAAAATCCAGAAAATCACATTGTAGGATTTTTAAAGAATTAATTGGTAAATTCCTCGGTAAAATAAGTATTTGGTCACCTACAAACAAGCAAGATTTCTGGCTCTCACAGACCTGTAACTTCTTCTTTAAGAGGCTCCTCTGTCCTCCACTGGTTACCTGTATTAATGGCATCTGTTTGAACTCGTTATCAGTATAAAAGACACCTGTCCACAACCTCAAACAGTCACACTCCAAACTCCACCATGGCCAAGACCAAAGAGCTGTCAAAGGACACCAGAAACAAAATTGTAGACCTGCACCAGGCTGGGAAGACTGAATCTGCAATAGGTAAGCAGCTTGGTGTGAAGAAATCAACTGTGGGAGCAATTATTAGAAAAAGGAAGACATACAAGACCACTGATAATCTCCCTCGATCTGGGGCTCCACACAAGATCTCACCCCGTGGGGTCAAAATGATCACAAGAACTGTGAGCAAAAATCCCAGAACCACACGGAGGGACCTAGTGAATGACCTGCAGAGAGCTGGGACCAAAGTAACAAAGGCTACCATCAGTAACACACTGCACCGCCAGGGACTCAAATCCTGCAGTGACAGACGTGTCCCCCTGCTTAAGCCAGTACATGTCCAGGCCCATCTGAAGTTTGCTACAGAGCATTTGGATGATCCAGAAGAGAATTGGGAGAATGTCATATGGTCAGATGAAACCAAAATAAAACTTTTTGGTAAAAACTCAACTTGTCGTGTTTGGAGGAGAAAGAATGCGGAGTTGCATCCAAAGAACACCATACCTACTGTGAAGCATGGGGGTGGAAACATCATGCTTTGGGGCTGTTTTTCTGCAAAGGGACCAGGACAACTGATCCGTGTAAACGAAAGAATGAATGGGGCCATGTATCATGAGATTTTGAGTGAAAACCTCCTTCCATCAGCAAGGGCACTGAAGATGAAACGTGGCTGGGTCTTTCAGCATGACAATGATCCCAAACACACCACCCGGGCAACGAAGGAGTGGCTTCGTAAGAAGCATTTCAAGGTCCTGGAGTGGCCTAGCCAGTCTCCAGATCTCAACCCCATAGAAAATCTTTGGAGGGAGTTGAAAATCCGTGTTGCCCAGCGACAGCCCCAAAACATTACTGCTCTAGAGGAGATCTGCATGGAGGAATGGGCCAAAATACCAGCAACAGTGTGTGAAAACCTTGTGAAGACTTACAGAAAACGTTTGACCTCTGTCATTGCCAACAAAGGGTATATAACAAAGTATTGAGATGAAATTTTGTTATTGACCAAATACTTATTTTCCACCATAATTTGCAAATAAATTCTTTAAAAATCCTACAATGTGATTTTCTGGATTTTTTTCCCTCATTTTGTCTCTCATAGTTGAGGTATACCTATGATGAAAATTACAGGCCTCTCTCATCTTTTTAAGTGGGAGAACTTGCACAATTGGTGGCTGACTAAATACTTTTTTTCCCCACTGTAGCAGGCTACTTAAGGTAGATGTATACATTTTCTGCCTGCATTAAAGTTGCCACAATGCTCGTGGATGGTTGTCAGGGTGTTGCTATGCAGTTTCTAAGATGGATGGAGTGGTTTTTCATGTGTTGCTATGCAGTTGCTAGGTGGCTGGTCAGTGATTGGTTATTGTTTCAAGTTAAAAGAGCCCATCCCCGAGTCTCTATGATGTTCTGCTCTCTAGACACGACTTAAGAGCTACCTTTATTGTAAGTCTATGGGTCTATATATGTCTATATTTTTTGTCTGTTTTATCAAAATTTTAAGTCTGATCCCTTAGACTGAGTAATGATACACTTTTTTCCTGAATCATCCAAACAGGGTTAGGTGTTTGGTCAAATCCCTAATCCTATATGAACAATACTACAGTGATACACTAATAAATACGCATACAATCCAACACATTCAGTGTAACTTCACATACAAAGCTACAGCCTTTGGTTCTTGGACTTTGGCTACAAGTTTAAACATTTTCTTTTTTTTTCCATTTTCTTTTTTTCCTCCAATTAGCATAGGATCACATCAGCAATTCTGTCTGGCCCCTGAACAAACGCTGTCACATCTCCTCCTCCACATCTTTCCAGAGAGCACTCTGCCTCCTGCCGTCCCCTCGTCTCAGGGGATCTTATATTAACTCATCTCCTGTGGGTGTGCAAATCTCAGTAATTTCATTTTCAATATTTTTCCATAATATACGCCTCTCCTGCCTAGCACTGCAATGATTTTCAGTGTACATGTACTGTTATATATGTGTATTTTTGTAAATGTGAAAAGCCCTCACTGGAGTGATATCTTGAATAGCAGTGGAGCTCTTGCGATGAAATGTTGCACCAGCCATTTAATAAGTCTAATAATATAACTTTAAGTCTTGGGTAAAATGCCATAGCATCAATAAAGAATGAGCTTAATTTACTTCTCATAATACAAAATCTCATCATTCAATGTTGCACTTGTTAAGCCATTGCGGAGGCACAGGAGCTGTGGATGGGAGCTGATGCTGATATATTGTATTCATCAGATGAAATATTAAAAGCTCCCTGAGGGTGAGCATTAGACTTGCTCCTGATCATGGTAATGGGTGTGTATGTATTTTTATTTTTGAAGGGGAATTTAGTGTGAGTGAAGTCCATATATGTGCATAATAAAGTATTTAATAAAGTATTAAACCCTGTTGACATTCGACAGCAAGAGAGCACAAACACACAGACAATAAACTTTACTTAAT